GAGGAGATGGATTGTTTGGAACAAGGACTCATTGAGTGTTCCAAACACTCCATCTCCTCACCGAGCCTACAGCCCTCGTTTTTTTGTGTTTACCTCTGCTCCATCTGGTTGGACCACCACATCACCTATCCTAAGAGGGACCGCCCTCATCTCACGGCCGTCCTAAAAGCGAATGATCTACCCACCATAGGTGAGTACATCACTTACCCCTCTCATCAGACCTCACCACATTTATTGCGCCAGGTAGTGGCGCTTCCGTTCTCCAATTTTTGTTTCCTTTAATAAAAGATTAATACTTACCTCTGTGATGTGATGGGTGGTGCCTCCTGATTTTTGCTCTATTAAAGAGCTACCGCCACTAAACAGTCATACTTTGAGCATTTCAGCTGCCTTGCCCCCTCTGCACTCTGTTCCTTCCACCAGCCCCCATGTCACTATAGGACACATTAGTGACGTAGGGGTCGGCCGATCGAGCCACAGCTATCAGAGGGGGACCAATCATACAACAATCCTGGAAATGTGTCAGATACAGGAAGAGCTACCCTAGTCTAAAGAATCCTGACTTGCTTGTCTCCTTCAGGAACCCCAGTTTAAAGTATAACTGTACTCTTTCCTCCCTTTGGAGAGATTTGCTCTTATTTAAGGTTGTACCTGCAGGGCTGCAAATTAAGTGGATTGTACTGTGTGACACGGATAAAAATAAAAAAAGCTGACAGATGTGTCAATTATTCCTTATATACAGGTGAAACTCGAATAATTAGAATATCATGCAAAGTTCATTTATTTCACTAATGCAACTTAAAAGGTGAAACTAATATATGAGATAGACTCATTACATGCAAAGCAAGATAATTCAAGCCGTGATTTGTCATAATTGTGATGATTATGGCTTACAGCTCATGAAAACCCCAAGAACCCCAAATCCACAACATCAAAAAAGTAGGTTATTACATGCAATCAATAAAACAAGGATTGTACATAGAACAATGTCGGACCTCTGAAAAGTACAAGCATGCATATGTACTCAGTACTTGGTTTGGGCCCCTTTTTCAGCACTTACTGCAATTACTTTTGCACGATATTCTAATTATTCGAGTTTCACCTGTATATATATATCCAAAATGCAAAGTGCAATTATCCTTCTTGTCTTGCATGCTGGTGAAAAGTAGGCAAGCCTTCCCCTGCCTCAGATCCTTTGATCTCACTGCCATGGCATCCTTGCAGTCCTCACCTCCCCGGAAGCCGAAATCTTTTTTACTGACAGTTGTGCCTGCTCCGTCTCTCCGTCTTGTATGGGACTTTCAACCGATACAGTCCATGGAAGTCTATGTGGAGTGACTGCGTAGGCAGGATTTTATCTGCTGGGAGGTGAAAACTGTAAGAAGCCATGGCCATGGTGACTTGCCCCCCCTGTTAAAACATAGGCAAACCTTTCTCTGCCCCATATCCTTTTGTATTCACTGCTGTGGCACTTTGCAGTCGTCATCTCCTGTAAGCTGAAATCTTACTGACAGCATGTCTGTGCAGTCCCTCCCCATAGGCTTCTATGGGCCTGTCAACTGAAACAGTAGATGCTGTGCCAAGTGGTCCATAAAAGTCTATGTGGAGTGACTGCACAAGAAGGATTTTGGCTGTCTAGTGGTAAAGACTGCAAGGCCATGGTGAGATTAAGGGAAATATGTATCTAGGGTGGGAGAGGTTCATCTACTTTTTACTGGGAGGTCTAGAAAATACAACTGTACATTGTATAAAGATTTTTTTTTTTTTTCATTTCATTTTGGATATAGATTTTTTTTCCTGTTATGTGTCCCATTGAAGAGACTTCACTTCCTGTCAGGAGTAAATCTCTCCAAAATGAGGACACCTCCCTCTTTCACAGTGTCACTGTTTGGAAGATTTCCCCTCTTTTGCAGTTGTGTTGACAACTTAATCTGTTTTTTCCTTCGCTTTGAGTCCCAGTGACAGTGATTACCAGGACAGATAGACAGTGAATCTTCTGAATGGGGATGCAGACATAATAAACCCTGACAGTGGGTGTAGCCCTTTCCCGCTTTATCCACCAAAAAAAAAAAGTTAGATATTTTCTGAATTTTAGAAAATATCAAAATGTTGGGTTATAGTTTAAACATTCTCTTGTAGCTGATAGTAGAATATTTTAGGCTAGTCAGCATCTTTGGTAAGACGTTTATGGAAAGAGTGTCGGACACCGAGTATGTTAAAGCATTAAGAAAAATGCTTGTCTGTATTAGGGCTCGTTCACAGCAGAGGCCGCGTCTTACCATGGCCACTGGTGTGCGCTTGGTAAAGTAAACTGCCGATATCCCGATTACAACACATAAAGCTGTTTACTTTTCTTTTTTACAACTTTATTGAAATGTAACAAAGTTGCACAGAGCATTGCAATGTGGATGTAGTGAGCTGCAACACACTGCAGTGAAAAAAAAAGTTGTGCACGTCCTACTTTAAGTGCACACCTGCAGTGCAAACGAACACATAGGACACATGACAATTTGCCTTACCTATGCATTAGGACTGCGTTAGGCAAGGGTGCCTTACACCAACACATATGGTGTAAATGGGCCCTAAAAAAATGTTTTCAGTATTTTGTATATCTTGCCAACATGATCTGTTTTACCATTCCAAGTGCTAAAGAAAATGTGCCCAAGAAGAGCACTTGGTAAGGTAAAACAAATCATGTTGGCAAGATATGTGAAATAGTGAAAAAAAATCTTTAGGGCCCGTTTATACCATATGTGTTGGACTGTTATAGGCACCCTTGCCTAACGCAGTCCTAATGCATAGACTAGGCAAACTGTCCTGTCTAAATGTGTCCAAGATCCAGTTTCCAAATAGGACTATCTAGTTTAGTTTAATTGTGTATTGTAAAAGTGAATATATCACAGTTCTGAATGATTATCTGCAGTGTCAAATCACAGACAGACGTCTGAAGCAATCCTCTCCATGTACTTTTCTGCTGACTTTCAGCTGTTGATTACTCTGCAGGGGCAGAATAATGTAAAAAGTTAAAATATGATACTTTCAGTGCTCTACAATAATAGCTCAATATGGAGTCAATACATTTTAGCAGCATATGTTGTTTTTTTAGCAGCACTGCTCTTTATTCCTTATTGATATATGATCTACAAGGAGCACGCCTACGCAAGGTAATAGTTATTGAAGCTTTAACCTGGTTCTGTTACTGTGATTTTCTGTGCAGGTGGCTCGTAAATTGGTCATTCTTGAAGGAGAGCTGGAGAGAGCAGAAGAGCGTGCCGAAGTGTCTGAACTGTAAGGATTCTTTGGTTTTTACTAATCCTTGGCTATTGTTAGTATATTGTATGAACAGTAATCTAGATTACTACCATCTGTGTTTCTTTACAACAATACTGCCTGTTTTTTCTAAATCGAGGCAACTAAGAAAGATCAATAAAAGGAGTTAAGGTGAGCAGAGCATGCAATTTAACTACCACCATGCCTTTTTTTAAAACTGGCATGTTACTGATCTGCCAGTTTAAAGTTCTTGTCTCCCTTTTTTGGTTTACTAGTTGTCAACCTATTAACATCTCTGAGAAATTAGATAAGTGAGACTTATATCTGTCTGATGCAAACACACACACACTATGACCTATGATCCTGTGGAGTTGTCAGTGATGGGAGTCAATGAGAATGAGAGATAGATATTTGTCTACTTTCACAATATCCTGAGACCATGATAAAGACTACATCTGCATTGTTTGATATTAATCTCATCAGATTCATTTGATAACCAGTTAATTTGGCCTTGTACATGATTTCCTTACTCTTCAGAGAAGAGCCTGTTGCTTCAGTTTTTAAAGTGTATCCAAATCCACCAACAAAAATTTATTATATTGCAGCTTACCAGCCCTAAGATGCGGTGGCTGCATTCGGTTTCTTTTTTCAGGAGTTGTTTTTTTTCCTTTTGTTTTTACCTGGTGATCGGGCCAGTAACACAATTCCTGTACTAGAATAACAATGCTCACAGTACTATTACTATGGAGGAGCAACAAGACTAAAGAACACCTTGCCCTTTCCTCTTCCCCATAGCATGGGTGGGTGTTTTGTAGTCTGTAGAGAGCACTGAGAGCAATACTAACTGTTTTCAGGTCACTAGATTTCTGGCAGGAATTTATTTTTCTCTTCCATTCATTGGACACAGCGTTTATCTGTAGACCTTTGACCTGATTTTTAGTGTCACCTGCAGGAGTAGGAGACCAGGTACAAACACACACCAAAAAAAATAAAAACAGCCTAGGGGTTCGAATAATGACCAACCATTTATTTGCTAACGCAGCCTCCACTTTTTGTCTAGCATCAATGAGTTAGAACCTTAGAATCCCTACTGGGATTGTTTTTCCCATTTGGTCACTATAAGTTATATATTATTTGAAAAATAATAAGACCCACCCCGAAAATAAGACCTAGTACTATTTTTGGGAATTGCTAAAATATAAGACCTACCCCAAAAATAAGACCTAGTTGTGACCATTACTAGGGCCGGTGGTGGCATAAGGGGGAACTTGAAGAGCCGCGGGAGAGGCAGGAGAGAATCAGCAGTGCCAACGAAGCCAGCGCTAGAGAAAGCGAGGTGGCACCGGAGGGAGCAGAGCCGCATAAGCCGATGCCTCCTTTATAGCGCCGCCTCCTGTCACAGGCGGAGTGATACCAAATGCACTCGGCCTGTGAGGAATCGATAGTGAAAGTGCAATTCGCTCATTCTGGCCAGCAATTGGTTAGCAAATTTCTCTTGGAAAGGTACAGCACCCCTGATTGCCCTTATCACCATATTTTTGTACATGAATACATGTTGACTTTTCTGCATGAATAAGTGTGGCTTGTTGTACATTTTAAAAAAAATAAGACCGCCCCCGAAAATAAGACCTAGTGTGTTTTTTTTGAGCCAAAAAAAAATAGAAGACAGTGTCTTATTTTCGGGAAAACACGGTATATATAGTAGGCATTCAGATGTCTTCCACAGGAGTAAATGCATCAGAAAACAGGGTTATTACAGGTTTCAGAGAGCTGTGGCACGATGAAACATCAGTGTAATAAATACGTTTTTTATATGTATAATATATATGTTAGATTATAAAAGAGATCTTGTATGGTTTTATTTCAGTAAGTGCGGCGATCTGGAAGAAGAATTGAAAAATGTGACTAACAACTTAAAATCCTTGGAGGCTCAGTCTGAAAAGGTGAGTTATGCTGATCCCCTATGACAGATACAGGTAGCCATCAATTTTTGCTGGGGTAGGTTCCTGAGGGAATGACTGTAAATAGAAACCGGTGTAAATTGAAACCCAGTATATAATGTAAGTCAATGGGAAGCGAGGCAGTTACGGTACAGAACTTTCCAAAATTGACATAAGTAATAGAATACAGGTACATTATATTTAAAGCTGCTCACACAAGGAGCTTTAAATAAAATGTACCTGTATTATGTTACGTATGTCAATGAGAGGGGCTTGGAATCTAACTTCTTCACTTTCCACTGACTAACCAGTTTCTATTTGGAACCATTCATTGTTATGAGAGAGGCCTGGAACCTAGCTCCCTCACTTCCCATTGACAAACATTTATATATTTGATTTCAATTTACAACACTCCCAGAAAAGGGTGCTATTTTGAATCAGTGCACATTGAACCGTTGTAAACCGAGGGCCACCTTTATTTTGTCCAGTAGCAAGAAAAATCTGATATTTTCCTGTACCCTAAATAAATGCCAAGCATCCTTTTGAAAATAATATATATTTTCTTTGAAGTGAGCAATTTTTGATTTTGTGGGAAGAAAAACTCCAGATTTGAATTGCTTTTCTCCCACTTTCTGCTAGCAAAAGACACTGTTACAGTTACTGGAAGAATGAAAGCACCCGATAGACATTCCACAGTACAATGTATGCAGAGATTTCTGATTCTTTGTGAGGAGGCGAGACTCTGTTGTCATTCCTCTGACTTGGTATTCAATAACAGTGGACTGACATCAGCAGAAATTAGCTCTTGTTGCAGTTTTCAGTATGAATTTCAGGAAGGTAGCTTATAGGACTGCATGGTACAGAGAGTGAAGTACACTATATGCCCAAAAGTTTGTGCACATCTGAGCTTCACATCTATATGAGCTTGGACATCCCAACGCAAAAACAGTGGCGTTCCACTTCATCCCAGAGGTGTTCAATAGGTTTGAGGCCAGGGCTCTGTGCAGGCCATTCAAGTTCCTCTACAACAGGGTTAGGCAAACTCCAGCCCTCCAGCTGTAGTGCAACGAGAAATATCATCATGCCAAACTCTTCACCCTCTTGTGAATAGCCCTGCAAATCATTATGGACCTTCCTCAGAGGGCCTTCCCCTAATTGTTGCTACAAGGTCCGAAGTGCAAAATTGTCTAAAATGTCTTTATGCTGTAGCATTAACTGTCCCCCTCACTCAAAACACCTGACCTACAGGTGCAACACCCAGCCCTCTAAATAAAAAAAAGAATGTTGACATGAACGCCTTTCTGCTAGTGAGAAATAATTACCATTTTAAATCTTGCATGAAGAACAAGTGGAACAAGCTTTGATGGGTAAAAATGTATTCCTCGTCTTGAATACAAATACACAAGTGCATTCTTCATTGCCAGAAAGCATGCAGTTATGCATAGAGTTATAATGGCTTGGTTTTTTTCTATTTCTTTCTAGTACTCTGAAAAAGAAGACAAATATGAAGAGGAAATCAAGGTCTTAACAGACAAGCTAAAAGAGGTAAGAAGGTGGAAGGATGCTTTGTTTATGCAGTACATAATGGTCTTGTTACATGCATATATATATATATATATAATCAGATTAGAAGTGTATTTGCAGTGCTGGGAGTGAAAAAGACAAAACTAAGCTTGACTGAACTTCTGATAATGGGAAAGGGGTGTTGTCGACATTTACAAAGAGCTGTTTTGACAATGCGGAGGAGTGAATGGATTTGCTGCAGAATATCAGACCACTGAGCATTTTCTTGTGCACTCCATGTACTTTTAATCTATCTCATTTACAGGCGGAAACCCGGGCTGAGTTTGCAGAGAGAACAGTTGCCAAACTAGAAAAGAGTATTGATGATCTTGAAGGTAAACAATCTGCCCTACCTTTGCTATAGGATTTTTACATTTGTGCAGCATCATCTGTAAAATGATCTCACTCTTATAGCCTATCTTTTACTTGTATGTGTACTGTACAACCTGTGTAAGAAATGACAAAATGTAGCTGAAGTTAAATGCAAATCTTAACTTTTTTTGTAAAAATTGACCCTGCCTCTCCTGCTATTGGTGCCTACCCTATTGGTCAAATTAGAGAATCAGTAAAGAGGCTTCCTGAGGGGGCCAAGCTTGAGAATTGCATGTAACTTTGTATATTTCTGGATCTACTTATGATTATAAAACTCGTTTTTCACTAAAGGTAACTTCAGCTTATGTATGTCGCATTGCATGCTTAACATAAAGTGACACTAAACTCAGGGGTCAAATCTTGAAAATGCATTCAAGTACCTTAACTATTAACTTAAATGTATCTTATTTGTGTGACTACTTTACAACACACACAGGGACCATGGGGAACAAAAGTAGCCACCCTCCAGAAGGAAGGACAGTGTCCGCACCAATTCAGAGAGGATTTGAGGATCTACAGCCGAGTAATACACAAATAAGATACCGTATTTTTCGCTCCATAAGACGAACTTTTTTCCCTCCAAAAGGCGGGGGGAAATGTGTGTGCGTCTTATGGAGCGAATCCCTATCGCCCGACGCCCGGAACATGCAGTTTCGGGCCCCGGGCGAATCGTTTTTTGTACATTTAGCCCTGCTAAAGCAGAGCTAAATGTACAGTGGAAGCCGCTGCTCGTTTAATACAAGTGATCTAATCCGATCACTTGTATTAAAACCGAGCAGCGGCGGCGATCGAGTGCGAGGCCCCCACCCGCCGTATTTTTTGGGGTCCCCCGCTCCCCTGGGGGACCCGTGACCACGGCATAGAGGCTCAACATTGAGCCCCTAGAGCAGACAAACAACGGATGTTCTTCGTCTGCTCTGTGTGATCACTGAGACTGTGGCACTGAAATCACGGCGCCACCTGTCTCAGCGATCACTAACTGCAGCTTCTGTCACAGAAACTGCCTGCATCCTTTAGTGTGACGTTATGTTAAGCATGCAATGCGATATACATAAGCTGAAGTTACCTTCAGTGAAACACGAGTCTTGGTGTCACTTTAAAGCATATCGAAACCCAAAAATTTTAAATATTGCAGCTTACCAATAATTAATTTTTGATGGCTGCATTAGTTAGATGCACTAGCAAATTTAGATGCATGTATGGTTGCACAGTACTTATTCTGCATCTCCATAGACTTTTAAAATGACTGTCAATGACTAGCACCAAATCAGGGAGCCCCCTGCTAAACGTCTCATGCAATATATACCAAAAATTGTATATATTGCAGCTTATCATCTTTAATTGTGGTGGTTTTATTTTATTTATTTTTTTAGACTTTTTGTCCCTTTTATTTAGACCTGGTGATCTAGCCAGTAACACACTTCCTGTCTTAGGGTGGCTCCGTTGGAGAATCAGTGGAGCCGTCCTTCGATAGTAGCATTGTCAGCCTGTGGAGAGGGTAGTGTTACACGGACTAGTAAATTTAGATGGACTTAGCTAGATTTCCGATTTAATTTGTTAGTTAACACTTTTTAGGCAGTTACAGCAATAGGTTTTGTTTTTTTGGGGGGATAATAATAAAATCTGACCATTTTGGCCACCCCTGTCAGTGGTTTGTCTCGTTCCTCTATCTGCCACTCCTGCTGGACAGCTTCGTCTGTAAGAGGACCTTTAGGCCTTGTTCACACCAAGCGCGGAGCAGGTGCAGAGCAGTTGCAGACCGGATCAAAACTGCGTCCAATGTATTCCAATGGTATTTTTTGCTCCAGTTCACATCGCAACGTGCAGAGCAGGTGAAAAAACTGAAGCAAGTCCTATTTTACCTGCTCTGGAATGCATGCAAATGCCTGGAAACGCACTGAAAGCCCATGTTAAACTTTAAAAAAACGGCCCGGAACGCATCAAAAACGCGGCAGTAACGCGGCACTACCCAATGCACTGCGTGTGCAGAAACCTGAGCGGATCTGCTCTGCATTTGGTGTGAACAAGCCCTTACCCATATCTTTGAAACGACAACAAAGACACCTTTACAAATGTTTAGTAATGACAATCTACAAACACATACTTCTAGATAATTGCAGGCTTCTTCTTCTGTATTCTTTGTATACCTTATTTTTCTTTTCCTTTCCCATTCTTCTCATGGTGGCCATTTTTACTAAGGCTCTGTTCACACCTAGGCGTATCGAATATGCACGTTTGTCGCACGTTTCGGGCCGAGCGTTAAAAAAACTGTGCGACAAACGCGCGTTTCCGAGGTCTACTTGGCTGTATCCCAATGGAAACGTGCAACGAAAACGCCGCAAAGAAGCTCATGTACATTTTCAGGCGTAGGCCGTTTTGTAGCGCGTTCAGACGGGCTGAAATACGGAAAGGTGTGAACCATACCCATAGAAAACAATGGGATTTTCATGTTTGAGCGTTTTGTAGAGCGTTGAACGCGCTACAAAACGTACAGGTGTGAACCAGGCATAAGAGCAGACTACCAGATCTCCCTTTACCTCTTGAAACTCTGGCACATGTGACTAGGACATGTGACCATTCACATCATCGCAAGGGAGGAAAATGCCTTTGCCTGAGAGCTCATGAGATTACAGATGAGATTTCCCAGCAATGCTCTGCTGATGTAACCTTCCAAGGATGCATTGCTTAGGCACAGGCTGCATCACTAATGCCCAAGAGGATCAGGAAGTAGAAAAACAGTCATTGTAAATTAAAAGCAAAATATGTTTAACTAATGAATGTAAGATTCTTTCAGATCAGCATGGAGAGCTGCACGCTGATGTGATTTTTTTAGTGAAAGGGGCTAAAGGTCCACTTTAATGGAAGTTGAAAAATAACAGACCTACTGGCTGCATCACCAGGTGGAAAAAAAAAAGGAAAAAAGCCTAAACAAAAAAAAAATTCCAGGACCACTAGTTAAACTATTAGTGTGATACGGAGAGGAAAGCGGAGCAGACATTGGATACTGTCCTTGGAGTGGATAGTAGCCAGGACACACAACTGCAAGGCAGGAGTGCCCCCAGACTGATTATCTTTTGTTCTGTATGTCCCTATCTGTTCAAAATTCAAATCTTTTCATTTTAATGTAAAGTTATTTAAACTATAACCTATATATCTAAAGTATTAAATCTACCTTGACCAGATCTTACCTGAAGAAAACCTCATCAGTTTCAGAGCTGAAACATTCTTACTAACACCAACCACAAAAGTACTGGTTACCAGCATTTAGTAGTTTGTCTACATTAAACTACTGAATGCTGATTCCTATTTAGTTGCTATAAGTTATTGCACACCATTGGTCTTTGAACTGAAACCTGAAATAAGGAACAAAACATTTTGTATGACCATATTCAAATGCACACGTTTGCTATGATATGTTTTCAAACTTTCATTATGTAATAATGGTTTCTTTGTTTTTCATGCTGTCTTCATCTTACCCTCCATCTGTATTCGGTTCTTCTTCTGTCCTTCCGAATCATTCCTGCTACTTCTGTCTTGTTAGATGAGTTGTATGCCCAGAAGCTCAAGTACAAAGCTATCAGCGAGGAGCTCGACCATGCTCTCAATGATATGACATCGTTGTAGACCCTCTTTTTATGTGGTTTTATGTGATGTGGCTCTCCAGTTCTGTCAGCTACTATTCTCTCTTTCAATTTATTCACTGCTCTCAACCTCTGTAAGAAATAAAAGTCTCTCTGCACCTTTTAAATTCTATCTTTCTTTCTTTCTTTTGGTGTGTGTGTGTGTGTGTGTGTGTGTGTGTGTGTGTGTGTAGTGCATGTATGACTGAGCAAACACTACTACGGTGACCGTTTTTATGTCTTCTACCAATGTAGCAAACACTACTTTGGTGTCATGGACCATGTATGTCTCAAGACATTATTTTGTTTGGTGTATTGCTTTTGCTAAGGGGTAGCTTATCATTTTGACACTTTTTCTAACATGGTTACTGCTATACCTCTTACATTGTGCATGTTCAGATAGGGCACTTACTAAAGTCACCAAATTTATATTTGTAAAATTGAAATTACTTCCGTTCTTTCCAAAAATCCAGAGACAGTGATAGGGCAGATCCTTTAATTGTTATGTCTTCATTTCAGACAAGTTGGCTAATGCCAAAGACGAAAATATGGGAATGCATCAAGTTCTGGACCAAACGCTACTTGAACTCAACAATTTATAATCAAAAGTGAAGAAAAGCCTGCACATCATTCCTTCTTAAAGTAATTAATTCTCCCTTATCATGCCTTAACATTCCAGGGGAAAACAGCAATGAATGCGACCAAATATTTTATTTTTTAAGGAAACCATTCACAAATATGAGCTTAAACCTCATTGTGCCGTGCCTTTTTTTTAATATTTCTTTTTTTTATGCTAAGGTCCCATGTACATTTTTACTAGATTAGTTACAAATGTCTTCAGTGTTTTTGTCTCTTATGTTATTCTGTTACAAGACCACAAAGTGTTGAAATCTATTACAGAAGTATGGGAAGCCCAACAAAGAAATCAAAACTAGCAAAAAGTGTTATTTGTAACAATGTTATAATGGGTATTGTGAAAATATAAATTCTTTATTAAATATGGCACATTTTGGATACAATGATATGGCTTTAAGTCAAAATTGGTGCTTTGACAGTCAAAGAAATTTTAATTTAATGCAATGAAATATTAAAGTAACTGCAGTAAATTTACTAAGATGTTTACATAGGATCCTGTATGAACTGGATGTGATCAGTAACATTGAACACACAAAAATAGGTTCTGAAACGTCCATAGTACAGTCAACATTAGAGCTGTGCATAGACTGCTCCTGGGAATGTGTTACCTAAATATACTTGCCATTTGGGAGATTGCACTGTTCACTTAGGAAGTTGACCTGTTATATGTCTAGCCAGGGCTTATTGCATTGACCCATTCAATAGGCAGGTCCCATTAATTGGACACACAGGACTGGATTTCTGCAGTCAACCTAGACTAGGAGAGGAAGAGGCCATTTAGCGCCATAACTTTACAGCTGACTTGGTAGTGGTAATGTCAAGCTAGTGTAAAAACAGAATTCAGTGCAGGCCTGAGGCACAAAGCAAATGCCTCAGATTTGCAGGTCTAGCAGTACTTATCATTATATATTAAAAAATAAAACCCCCAGTGGTGATTAAACCCCACCAGCTCTATCTGTCCCTAAAAAAAGGTATGAAATACATATCGTTTTGGTTTGATGTGCAGCGTTGCATGACTGAATTAATGTCAAAGAGACAGGAAACCAGACCACACGGGAATGCAGGTAAAATGTAGTTTATTTAAAGAAACATAAATAAGCATTCATCAGGGAACAGCGGCAGCGAGGTCAGGAACAAGCCGTTCAAGTCCAATGCGGGTAGTCATCCAAGCCGGAATCAAGTACAATGCGGGTACGTCTGCCAAGCCGGGATCAAGTCCAATGCGGGTATGTCTGCCGATGCGGGGTCGAGAGCCAGAGGAAATGTCAGCCAGGCCAGATCATACACAGAAAGACACAAAGGAACTGAGACTGCCAGATAGGCACCTTGGAGCACAAACGCAAGGGCAATTAGCCTGAAGTTTGAGCAGACTGATATAGTCAGGTGTGCCACATCATCACTGACTATAGGCCCAGACAGCAGGCAAGCGATGATGCAATCAGAGATTATAAGAGACTGCAGTCTGCACATGTCGAAAATGGCTGCCACCATGAGGACAAGGTAAGACCTTGAGAGTGCCGCAGCACAGAATACTGAAAAATGGCCTGGACAGGAAGGGGGTTTAACACCCCGGGTCAGCAAGGGGTTAAAGAATATTTCAAATCAGATGTGGCAGGTATACATGCAAAAGTCTGGACATACTTGGTCAAATGTTTTGTTGATGACTTCCATGAAAGGCAGTTGACATAACCTCTATAGAAAACAAACAAAAACATGTTTGACCTGTTGCTGAAGATTTTAAAACAAAACTCCAGGAAAATATGATTACACACTTTGTATTCTTTGAGAAAAATACTAGGCACTGGGAACTGAAAAACCAACATGTACCGGGGTAGAAAACTGGTTGCAAGACCATATCCCTCTCCAACATCCCTCTGGTAGGAATAAATGGCTCATTCTCTAAATGGTCCAAAGTGGTGAGTGGAGTGCCTCAGGGTTCAGTCGTGGGGCCAATTCTGTTTATCTTATTTATAAATGACATTGAGGTGGGAATAAAGAGCTCCCCGTCAGTGTTTGCTGACGATATGAAGTTACGCAAGGAAATAAGATCTCAACATGACATAGAATCCCTGAAGCAAGACTTCGATCAAATTGGAGAGTGGGCAGCAATGTGGCAGATGAGCTTTAATCTAGCTAAATGTAAAGTCATGCACTTGAGAGCAAAGAAGAACTGCCTAAGATGCTCCACCTTAGGTGGGGTTTCACTGTGGGCGATGGAGAAGGATCTTGGGGTCCTTATAGACCACAGACTCGGAAATGACATGCAGTGCCAAGCTGCAGCTAATAAAGCTAATAGTATATTGCATCAAAAGAGGGATTTATTCACGGAATAGAAATCTCATTTTACCACAAAACACTGGTACCATCTTGCGTATGTGCTGCAACTTTGGTCACCAATCCTTAGGTGGGATGTCCGTGAGCTAGAAAAAGTACAGAGAAGGGAAACCAAATTAATAAGGGGGATGGAGGGTCTCAGTTATCAGGAACGTCTACAAAAATTAGGATTGTTCTCCTTAGAAAAGAAGCGCTTAAGAGTTGACATGATCGCAGTTTACAAGCTCATCAATGGGGACAGCAGGTATTGGGAATGCATTACTAAAACCAAGTATCTAGAGGAAGACAAGAGCGCACAACAAGAAGTTGAAGAGGAGGTATAATCGTCAACTGTGTAAGAAGTATTTTACTTTGAGTCTGGTAAAAATGTGGAATTCACTTTCACGGGTAGCTCGATCAGCGGGAAACATACTGCTTAAAAAAACACTTGGATGAGTTCCTCAGTTCACAAAACACACAAAATTCCGAGCAGTACACACACACTATATAGGTTGAACCTAATGGACCTGTGTCTTTATTCAACCTCACCTACTATGTAAGGCATTTTCTGAATGGGCAGGTAGTGAGAAGGTTCAGGGATGTGACTAGAGAAGTTCACTGCTTAAAGTAATATTTAAAGCCTATTTTTTTTTTTTTATCTCTCCTTTAAGGAGACCCTCCTTTGCTGGAGGCTGTTGCTCTTTTTCTTTAAAAGTTTCTAATTCCTTGTTTCTAGTGGCTCCCCACAGGGCTTTTCCTCCCATCCCCTGCATGGGTGCCACCATTGTTCTAGTGAAGGCACCCGTGCGCACTCGTTTCCGCAGTGGCTGTGTGACGCACACAGCCCTTTGGCAGGCCACGCCCCTTCCCTCTTTGAAGGCAGAAGGAGCCTATGGCTCCTCTGCCATCAGTATCCTACCTCGCAACCCGGAAGTCCAGGGAGCGGAGGATCGCTTTGCACCGGCGGCGGGGACGAGCGCAGCTGACAAGTAAGTGTGGGGGGGACTGGGGTAGAAAAAAGGAGCTGGGACGTTTTTACCCTAATGCAGAGAATGCATTAAGGTAAAAAACACCCGGACCGTAATACTACTTTAAGTCACATCCCTCACTCCCCGCATCGCCCGGAAGACCGGTAATTTGTTTTCCTGCAAAAACTTGCTAAAGAGAGGGTTTCTGTAGCCTCTACAAATTTCTGCTCCAATATTGTTTGTGCGACATGCCACACCTACCTTGACTAAGCCCTACCAAGGTTTAGGCATATGAACATCCAAAAGTACAGTACTGTAGGTCACGGTGTTTGATGAGGCTTATTGTAACTGAGAAAAGTAGAGCTATCCTTTTCCGAATGTATAACGCACATGATGTCTGATGTCAGTGAAAGTTTTTGCACACACAGTAAGAAATGTGGTTGGGTCTCTCTAGCTGTAGCTGCTCAAATTGTAAGCTGACCACACTTTACAATCGCTGCATAATCTTCTGTAATTTACCAAGAACTAGTATGGGGTCTGCCTAAACCATCTGTTTAGTTTACATTCACTCAGGTAGGGCTGAACAAACCAATTCGAGATAGTCAAGTGCATGCATTATTTAGAGGATTTTGTTTTTTTATCGAATATGTTCCTGTTTAAAGCAGAACTCTGGGTATGCAATTTTAAACCCTTGTAATGGGGATATCCCCACACTGCAAGATTTAGGTGCTTGTTTTTGCCTGGGGTCAAAAATAATAGTTAGACTCAGCCAAACCTTGAAGCCGTCTTGCTCTTAGACCGGTCAATGGATCATCTCTCCCCCTCCGCTGCAGTGGTCTAAGGTCCCTGAGTCATCATGTTGTACACACAGTGTATAGGATGTGAGGACACCGAGAGACATTCCATCACTGCAGCTTAGGGGGATACAGGCAGAAGGGAGCACTGTCACAGCCAGTCATCTCCGAGGGTGCGCATTACTTTATTTTTGATCCTAGGCAAAAATGAGCATTTAACCCTTGGAGGGGGGGGGGGGGGTAGCACCACTGCAAAGGTTAATAACATTTTTACCCGGAGTTGTTCTTTATGTCCCAGGATCTGACGATTTATTCTCAAAGTCGGTGGTTTTAAAGCTGTCTTGGGCTAAAACTAGAGGTTTGTCTTGATAAAGTACCTTGCTTTGGGTGACGGTAGGACGCTAGTTTGTGTCCTCCCGTTACCCTTAGAAGAACTATGGGGAAAAGCCCTGACCCCATAGTTCTCCTTTAACCCAGTAAATGGATTGTCAGTATTTGAATCCATCAAGGTATAGTAGCCAAGAAAAAAAGAGCTGCCTTTACACTGCCATGGGACACCATCAGTCCACTTCTGGGATCAAAACAATGACTTTTGTCAAAATAAACATCTCTACTTGTAAAGAAATATTGGATATAGATAGTTAGCATATTGGACTAGAACAAAAAGGTCTTTTGCAGAAACAGGGTTCTTTTTCTTATAACTTCTGTTATACCAATGTTGGAAATAAATTGTAAGTTCTGGGACCTAAACAGCAATATATTTTGTTTTCAATTCATACCTCTATTTTACATAAGAAAAGTGCAGCTTCTAATACACTGACTGCAGATATAGTTAGCTCATGGGTCATTGTTGATCACAAATACTGCAGATTTTAGTACGGCGAGTATGGAAATACAATGCCAGCTCCAAAGCTTAAGATGGCAAGCTTTCTCAATTCAGAATGACTTTTACAGATTATGTGGATTGGAGCAACATTCACCATATTTATTCCCAGAGAAGTTTTGTACAAGTCATTCAGAGTTGAGAATACCACAGAGTTGATATACCATAACCTGGATGAATGAGAACCTTCACAGACATTCATAAGTAAAGGTTATCATTGAACAGATCAAAACAACTTGCATTCTATCAAGTCACGTGTCTAAGAGTGATGTAGACAATCATGATAGCCCAGATCTTACATTGTCACTCTAAATAACACTCAGTATGACACAGTGTTATACAATTTTCTGAAACTGAAAAGGTTATTAACCACCGGCTGTTGTAATTAAATGGCCGGACAGCGGCTTCTTGAATGCGGGTGGGTG